GATAGATAGATAGATAGATAGATAGATAGATAGATAGATAGATAGATCAGGGGTCTTCAAATTTGACAGCTTTAAAACTTGTGGACTTCAACTCCCAGAATTTCTCCCGTAGTCATGTTAGCTCAGGAATTCTGGGAGTTGAAGTCCACAAGTCTTAAACTTGCCAAATTTGAAGACCCTTGTGATAGATGATAGAAGATAGATAGATATATAATAGATAGATAGATAGATGATATTGATAGATAGAGGATAGATTGATAGATAGACAGACAGACAGACAGATAGAAGGCAGACATTTCTGCCTTCTCCTGTAAACAGTTTAATATTATCACAGGCCCTTTTCTCTTTATATCTCCAAGGGAAGTGTATGTGGGTGTTTGAGTGAGAAATCAATCCCAATGCAAATCTCCTTGCATAATTTAATGTGAGCTCTTGCTGATTACTGAGGAATTCAGTAGAATGTGCCTTGCTATTCTCTAGTTCCACTTGTCAAGTGGCGTCTTGCATGATATGAAAGATGTAAAATAAAACAGCAAAAATAAGCTTAGAAATTACTGTTCGCTGCTGCAGCTGTTGTTCCAATCAAAAACTACCAGAAAATCCCTTTCAATTAGTTATACCAAATTTGTAACAGTTTAGGTCCACAGTCATTCTCAGGGGAAAAACCAGGTCTCACTTGATGAATAATCCTTAAAGCTGTTATTTCTCAAAGAATTTTTAAAAACATAATTTGGCATGCCAGACCTCATTCTAGCATTGTGAAATTATTCAACATACAGGTCTTTAGAGAGACCTTATAGAAACTCACTGAATTTGTCTATAGTTTTTATTCTTGATAATAAACTTTAATCATCCCCCAAATTTTATTCAGTTTTATTCGGTTTTAATCTAATACTTTATGTTCATTTACGTTACTATTCTTCACTGTGAGTATTGTACACTTTTGCAAATAATAATACACATACTTTTCAATAAGACAATTTATCTGATAGTAGCTGGGCTCGTGCATTATACCTATTACATCAAATCATGATGTGTTTTTGCCTAGGTTTGTTGAAGAAATCAACAAACGAATACATTTAATCAACAAATAAATCGCAGGGACCTGATTCACCAACAACATAAGCAGTTAAGCCTGTTTTACAAACTGTAGTGGCTGGGTTTACAAATTACCCTAAGCCAAAGCCAGCAAGCCACATTAGACTAATGTGAAAATAGAATAGAATAGAATAGAATAGAATAGAATAGAATAGAATAGAA